CCTGTTTCAGTAATATTTTAACCACCAACACTCTAGGATGTATATAAGTTATATTTTGATTGTCTTACACTACAAATATTTTATGGTTTGATTAGATCTTAAATCACAAGAACATGAGATAGATATTACACAGAGAATTTGTCTTGCTATGATATAAAACCAATCTCCCCTCCTCCCCCCCCCCCCTTTTTTTATGATGTTCGATTGATAAAATGCTATACTTGATCATCATAAAAAGAAGGCTGATCAAGGCTGGAAAATAAATTAATTAAGCACGATATGCCAATCATGATCGTTTGCTTCGCTGTTTGAAAGGACTCAAGATTTTTAGATACTGAAATAATGTTAATATGGAAAGCACCAAAAAAAAAAAAGCATAAAGTTAACATGATGGAGATTTCCAGCTCCAAACCACGGCAAAAGTATATGATTTAATAATGAAGAGTTGATTAAAGCATAATCCTCGATCACCTTCATAATTAATCCCTACACTTGTAATATTGGTTGATCGGTGTCCATCCATAGCACACCAGCTTAAAAACTTCATTGAAAGCTTTTCTTATACTCTTAATTTGCATTATCAAGTCCTAGATTGTATTATTTCACTTCTTTTAAAATAATAAAAAAAATTTCGATGGCATAAATTGTTTCAATATTTATATTAAGATAAGATGTGCATTTTAAAAAGTTTCATTAGTAACATTCGAAATTAACAAATAAAAGATCACCAGTGAAACTTGAATATAGGCATTTCATAACGAGGATAACGAGCTCAACCAATTGATTTTATTTTGTCTCACTTTCTCCCTTACTATGTTTCCTTCCCACTGCCTTGAACACCTATTATTTTGCTTGAGTACAAGGTTTCATTATAACTTTTGGTTCGCTATATTAAGATAGCAAATTGTTCTGGTATTCACAAGAACTATGAATCGTGAAATATGGAATTAATCATCTAATCTAATGTTATTACGTAGAGCTTCGTTGGTAGGCCGTCAAACTATAATTTATTTTTTATGCATATGATCATATTTTACATAATAAAAGATAATAATCTTCTATTTTATCCATCCCAAGATTCAAATCTGAAACCTTCAATATACAATTTTAAGTTGTAATCAATGGGTAGCCATAAACTCTGTGGTTTTTAGAATATAATTAGGGACGGGAATCCAACACGATCTCGACGGATTTTAATCCGACTCGACCTTATGAGATCGGTTTTTTTTTTTTTTTTAATTTCGAGTTTCGAGTCGGATCGGGTTGGATAATGTTATGAAACAATCGAGTTCGGATCGGGTTCGGGTTTTAAGCATGCTTGACCTGACCCGATCCAACCCGATATTATATAAAAAATTATTTTTAATTAATTTTTTATTTATATATATTTATATAATGATATTTTTAAATATTTATATTTAAAAAATAATATTTTATATTTTAAAAAATAATATTTTATTAATTTCAGGTCAGATCAGATACAGTTTATATAATATCGGATCGGGTTCAGGTATGAAAAAACAAAAAAAATTTTGGATAAGATCGGATTCATATTTATTAATGCATAAAAGTCAGGTCGGGTTTAGGGCGAGCAAAACTCACTCCGAACCTGATCCAATGCCAACCCTAAATATAATCAATGAATAATATAGTTAAATTGTGTTTTGAAAAATGTAATTACTCTTGAATCGATGCTTTTCTCTCTCTCTCTCTCTCTTGCAAATGTGATTAAGTGCTTCCTTAAGACTAAGATTGTTTTATTATTATTATAGTAACTAATTTTTTATAATCGAATTATAGTTATAAAAATATATGGTACTAAATGCCTTTCTTTTATATATGCTAGGTATCTTAGTTAGTGCCATAGGAACATGTGAAGGCTCATGCCATTCAAGTATTATATCCAAAATAAAACATAATTTATTTATGAAATAAGAGAAGATATAGAGATGGAACAATCTAGACATATTATAAGATCAGTTTTAATATTTATTTTTGTACCAAAATAAGTTTTAATTTCAGGATATATAAAAAAATTATAAATATTAAATTTTAAATTTCAGATTTTGTAAATATCACATATTAAGAGAGAGAACACAGTTTTAACTTTCAAGAATTGTAAGAGATGATTATAGGCTAGCTTAACTACTGCTTTTCATGCATGCTAGTGCCACAATGACCAATTATAGTATCAATGTAGGCCTCTAGTGCACAAATTATTTTAATCCAAAAAATTGTTTATTTTTGCAAGTTACAGCACTCGTCTTTTGCTTTCTTCTTTCCCTTCTGAATCATTGAACCAATGGACCATACTATACCTTTATGAACCATAATCTTGTATGCCAACAAATTCCTTTTGGTGGCTTAAAGTTATACAAGTGAATTTTCTTTAAAAAAAAAAAAAGAGAAAAAGAAAGAAAGTAAGCTGGAGAATTATTGATGTACCTACTGGTACTTGGCAAGGCAGGCAGGCAGGCAAGGCCGAAGGTGTTCGGACCACAATTAATTTAAAGAAATTCTTCTGTTTTTGATGGAAATCTTGAAGTGACCGAATTTGTTGAGTTCGATAATTCTAATCGGATAAAAACAAAGATAAATTGTCTTTCAAGTTCAACATTTTTATACAGGTACGGTTATCTTCATCTTTTAACTGTCGAAGCAGTGATCGAGGTGAAGAGTTAGAAATAGTTGCAGTACAAGTAAAGTTGTTTGACATAATTTATGTACCATTTATGATGTGTTGAACTAAATTTCATGTCATCATCCACGTGACATTAATTTAATTAAAAATTTTACTTAAATCAAAATTAAAAGTATTTGTATATATATATATATTACATTTAAAAAAAAAATACCCACACGTCATGTAACTTTAAAAAAAAATATTTTTGGTTGAAATTTTCTTTTCTTTAACACTCCACGTAATGGGTGTACAAAATTTAATTTTTAGTTGATGTGATACATCTATATCCATCTCTACCTAAATTAGCTTTTAATGCTTAATGAAAGATTCAAAATTTTTTTAGGATATTCACTTATAATGTATTTAAAAATTGAAGATAAATTTATTAATTTATTCGTCAGAAAAAATATATAATAAAAATGTAATTTTAATTTTTTTTTATTTTTTAATCATTGGGATGCTCATAAATATCCTATTTGTATATGTGGATTCATTGTGTTAATGGTCGTGATGGTCATGAAAAAGAATTTATAGATTAAACAATATGTTTGGTATATAAAATTATGATAGAATAGAATAAAATTATATTATTAATAAAATTAAATTAAATAATATTATTTTATTTTATATTTAATATGTATAAAGATTATAATAAAATATTTATTTATAGTCAAAATTATTTTTTTTCAAAATTTATATTATTTAAATTATTAATATAATTTTTAAAGATATAATATTATCTATAAATTCAATCTCATGAATTAAAAATATTTTTTTTTATTTTGAAAATATTAAATCATCCTATACCAAAAGAATGATTAATCCTTATTACAATCTTATTATTTTTTTAAATACAAATCATATATAATATAAAATAATTATCATCTTATTCTATTTATCACCCTATTCACCAGATAATAGCAAAATATCTAATATTAATTAACATTTATAGTTATCAGTAGCATTAATCACTATTAAATGCAAAGTTTATAGAGCTTAAATTAACAGCTGTATAACAGGCCAAAACACATTAAAAACAGGATGAAAGAAAAAAAAAAAAAAACTAATGATCTGCACATTACTATCAGAGAAAACAACTGTCGTATTAGTCAGCATTGTATATATAATTCTACATAGAAGCATTGCCCACTCTAATTAGGGCAGTCATAGGGTTTGGGGGTGCCCTGCTGCTACTGCCAAGCGCCAACCCTATTAGAAAACAATGGGTATATTTTTTTTTCTAAACCCATTCCATGATCCAACGGTCCAACCCCACCTTTCACGTTTTATGGCACGTGACACCTAACTGCATGCAATCGCTCAACACATGACCGTTTATTACCTCACACACTTTGCACACATTGAAAGAGAGAAAGAAATTTAATTTATTAAAAGAAAAAGAACAAAACAAATACATAAAGAAAAGGAAAGCATAGAGACGTTTCAAACTAGCTTAATGCTTGCTTATACCATCTGGCCCTTGGTTCAACAGATCCCACTTATCCCTGAGCCAGCCATATATCGCATTGTTCACAACATCAGTCCCCATGGCACAAACTCATCCTAGCCAAGCGACCTTTGTATCAAATTCAACTGCGAAATATCCAATAGAAGAAAAATTATTCGAAAAGTTACTAAAAAACTCAAATTAAAGACTATTTACGGCTAAGGCGAATGACTAATCTTTTGTTTTTTCTTTTGTTTTTGGCCTACAATGACCAATCAATTGAGCAATTTCTTACTTGAAAACTCTTCTTTCAAGTGTAGTTTTGATGAAATCATCGAAGTTATGCTTTGTTTATAAGAACCAACGAAGTTATATTAGTATATGTCTTTATATGATTTAAACTGATTAAAGAGATTTTTTTTTTTTTGTTTTTATTGATTTAAATTTGATCTAATCATTTTTTTAATAAAAAAAATTTGAAATAAATAAATTATTTAATTTTCTCATATCAAAATAAAATATGTCATATTTGATAATTTAAAATAAATAATTACAAATTATGTATTCGATATAATTATAATAAATTATCATCAATAAAATTAAAACTTAAAACTTTTTCATCAAAAATAAATTTTAACCAATTAAAATAAGTTCATCCAATCATAATACTTGCTATCAAGTTCGATGAGAGTTGTCATGAGTTTCCATAGCCACATTTTTTATTCAGCTAGTATAATAATAGTTAAATAAAAACGAGAAGGCGCGTGGTGTTAATGCTCCAGAAAGTCGAGCGTGAAGTCAAACACGAGCCAAAGAAGGAACGATCCATCGTTTTCTCTCCTAAGTACCCAATCTCATCTCTTTCATTTTGCTCCAAACCCAAAGTCATTCCCTCTCTCTTTGTATATAAAACTTAGTAGTAATTTACATTTTAGAAGAACTTCCCATTTTTATTGTTGTTGTTGATAATTATGTAGCCTTTGAAAGATATGGGGAAGAGAAGAGAGAAATTAGATTCAAGATCTTCTCAAACACTACCCTCATCTCCTTCACACTCTTTCTCTTCATCCTCCTCTTCCGACTTTGAGTTCACAATCTCTCTTTCCCCACGCGCCAACTCCTCTTCCACCCTTTGTCCCGCTGACGACCTCTTCTACAAGGGCCAGCTCTTGCCTCTCCATCTTTCTCCTCGTCTCTCCATGGTCCGTACCCTCCTCTTAGCCTCCTCCAGCACTTCCTCCTTCTCCGAAACCTCCTCCGCCACTGCCTCTCGTGACTCCGTCGGCAGCTCCAACGATTCCCACTCATCTTTCGCTAGTGATCTTGTTCTGCTTGCTGATTGTGACTCCTCCAGGCCCAGCTCCGTCACCGAAGACGATGAGTTGAAAAGGCTTAATAATGGGAACCATTTATTTTCAAGTCATCAGGGCCATCACCAGATCAAGAAAAGCAAGTATTTTTCTTTTTCTAGATTCTCTTCTGTGTTCAAGAAGGAAAATAACAAGAACCGTGACCAGGAAAACATGCCAGCAGCTTCTTCTGTTAAAAAAATGAGCACAACAGCAAAAGAAGTTATAAGGAAATATTTGAAGAAGGTGAAGCCACTGTACGAGAAACTATCCCAAAAACCTCAGCAAAAAATGGGAGGAACTGGAGTAGTTTCAGCTTTGTCATCAACAACTTCAGGTCCGGCTTCATTCTCCATCAAACCTGAGAGATCTGTCAAAGACATAGAGAAGATTAATGCAAGGAAAGAAAGCAACAACGCTGGATTTTTTCACTCTTTCTCCGGAAACTTAAGGTACCCAAGAAGGAGAAGCTGCATTTCAAGCTGCCCATCATCGATGCGGTCCTCACCAAGCCACTCTGGGGTGCTCTCTCGACACGGGCTTCCAAGAAAGGGCATGTATACGGGTCGGGTCAGTGGTGGTGGTGGTGGCAGTATGTACTATTTGGATACATCTTCAATGGATGAATTGCAAAGTGCCATTCAAAGTGCCATTACTCATTGCAAAAATTCTTTGCTTCAAAATAAAACTACTGTAGTAAGTAATGAAATATAATCTCTAACATGACATGACATGGTTGGTCAATAACAAAACTTGACTAACTAGAGTGCTTTCTATCTTTTTCTTTTTTTTTTTAATTTCACTTCGTGGATTTTATCTCTTTGTTTTGTTTCATGATCATCTAAGCATATTAAAAAGATTGCAAAAGAGAGTGAAATTTCTTTTGATGTATGAGAAGACCATGAGGTAAATGTTTGCATTGTGAAATTATTGTGTAACTTTTTTCCTTTGCAACATCCATTTGGATTTGCTATTAAACTTTGGCACTAAATTTTAGGTGGCATCTAAGAATTTAATTATTTCTGTTTTAGTATCTGAATATATGATCGTAATGAAATTGTGGGTATGATTTTTTTGAAGGGTATAAATAAAATTGTACCCTTTTTGTCTCAAATTATTTAAATGTTGTTAATTTTCATAAAATTTTAAAAAATTAATTTTAATATATTTAATATTAAAATTAAACTTTTTTATCAAATAAAATTTTATAATTTTTAATATCAAAAAGTTAAAAAATTATAAAAAATAATTTAAAAATATAAATAAAATTGTACCCTCTTTGTCTCAAATTATTTAAATGTTGTTAATTTTCATAAAAAATTTGTCCCAATTAAGTTTTTTAAATTATAAAAGTTTGTGATTATAATTACAGAAAAAATATCATTATTTACACACAGTAAAAGAATAAAAGGTTTAATATATTTTTCACTAAAGTTTAAGAATATATTGGAGCAGTAAACTTTTTTTAGTGATTTGATTTAGAACTGATTTGATGAACACTTCTTTCCTCCCAAGGATAGCATTCTCTGGCATGTCCCATTTATTCTAGCACTCAACCGGTCTTTCAAGTCTCTAAAGGCCCACTTTTTGTCTCTCCCCATCATTGTACGCAGCCCTAAAATATTTGTCAAGATTGTTGGTTTCTGGAACTCCAAGCCGGCCTTTTTATTTCCTTCCTTTGTTCGTCTACGGTGTTTGCATTAAAAAATAATGTCAACTTATCCAGGATTATCTTCTAACCCGAGTTTTCTTCGTATATCTTTAGCACATGCATCACGCTTTCGCTTTTGCTTCTGTTTGCTAGTCCAAATAGAAGATCGTCATCTGCGAAAAATAAGTGACTAACTCGAGGTCTGTTCCGACATATCTTGACTCCATGTAACAACCCTTACGATTGATTCTTCTTTAGCATCGCTGATAGCCCTTTTGTATAGAGTAGAAACAGATATAGGGAAAGTGGGTCTTTTTAATAAAGCCCTCTTTATAGGGAGAACTCATTAGTAATAGCACCATTAATTACAAGGGAGTATGAAACAGTAGACATACATCTCATAATATCATCTACCCAATTTTAGTGCACATCTAATTTTCTCATGATCTATTTTAAGAAATTCCATTCCACTTTGTCATACGCCTTACAAGCCTTAAATAATACTTACTAAATTCATTTTCAACACTTTTTATTCTAAAAATATATTTTTTTTATTTTGAATTTGTCAAAGATTAAATTTTAATAATTAAAATTAAAAATTTAACACATTATTATCAAATCATTGAAATTACTAACATTATTGTTGACTATTTTATTTAAATAAATTCTTAAATTATAAAAATTTTAATTTTTAATAAATTGAATATATATTGAACAGTAAGTAATTAGTTTTTACATACGTTCAATTTTTTTAAAATTTCAACTAGATTAGCACTTTCAATTAGTTTCTTTTTTTCAATTAATTTGAACACTAAAATCAATTACTCGAAAAATTGTTGTACTCTCCTAATTAGTTAGTTAAAATGACTTGTATATTAAATTAAAAAATTACTTATTAAATTTACTCTTTAAATTAACAAAAAACACTTAATAAGTTATTTGATATAAAATAAGACAAATAATTTTTTTATTTTTAAATTACAATTTTTTAATAAAATAATTTTAACATTTGGAGTTTAATATTTCATCTTTGAAATTTTTAATTTTGAATTTTAGTAGTATTTGTAGGCAATATTACATGTAAAAAATACATTATATAAGTCATAACGTCTCGTAAGAGTACAAATACGCCAAGATTCATTTAGTTTGACTATAATGTTTAATCAGACCACACATGTGGCATTGTTTTTTGTCGGTTATTGTATGTCTTCTTCTGTCGGGAGGGGCTCGAAAACCAGAACAAACAAAATGAAAATGGACCAATCATCAGTTAATCACCCTATGGTATTGAGATTTTTCGGATACTCTTTCGAAAAGAGCCCCACATATGTTTGATTGGGACCCGATATAGGATATCCTGAGCACCTGATGAAAAACGCAGCAGTTAATAAATTGTGGCTCGAAGAGTTTCGTGGTCCCACGCCCACAGCATACGGCATTAAAATTTGTGATGTTGGGTTATCATCATCTACCATGTTTTTAACCTTTTCACGTTGATCTCAGTGCCATTATTGGACCTTGAGTTTTTGCAATTAGGGTCCACAGTGATGTGTGGAGTTCTTTTTTTTTTTTCTTCATTGGGAACCGATTTACCAAAACCTGATGAAAAGTTAACATCAAAAATCCTAGCTGAAATCACAGAAAGACAAGTCACATGGCATTGCATTAATTAGTTACTTTCAATAAAAAAAATGGACAACGAGGAATTGTTTGGTTTTCTCCGAATTGTTTTCTTTCAAATGCTTTTGGAAGTAACATTTTTTAAATTTCATAAACATTTTTTTTTTCTGATTTTACGATTTTTTCTATTTATATATTTTAAATTTCTTTCAATTATAACTTTTTAGTTCATTTCGGACGATAAGGACATAAGAAATCAACTAAATTTTAATAAATTATAAAATTATCTTTACTTTTATTTTTGATATTATTACTTTTTTTTAAACAAAAATAAATTTTAAGGTTATTGTAATAGCGTTCAAGTTTTTTTTTTCTTTTATTCATAAGAGTGTAAGTACCCATATAAGACAGGAAGATGAATGACGGAGTTAGAACCCATACTCACATAATTTTCATAAAATAATAGCGTTCAAGTTTGAAAAACTTCATTATTAGACACAAAAAATGAAGTTATTATAAATATTTTTTTATTTAGATGTGATTGATTATCTAAGTGAATATATCATTTTAAGATTATCTTAAACTCAAAGTAAGGATCCTTTAAAAAGAATTGGTTTTAGTTTACATCTTCAAAACTAAGTTTTAGAGTCATTTACATATAAAATAAGTTATAATATCCTCACAATACCCAAAATTAGTATTAAATTACTTTTATGTTATCTTACCTAAACTTTAATTAAAATAAATTTTATTCCTAATTTATTTTAATTTTGATATTTAAATATTAGAAAAAGTATTCAAGCTTTTCATAAAAAATTTTTCTCACTTCAATAGTATTAAAGATATCATTATTCACTTGAAGAAACTTTATATTGGATTTATTAAATATCTTATAACAAAGACAAATTACTTTCATTTTTTTATTTATTTACAAATACTAAGCATACAAAAATATTAGGCAAAAGTATTATACAAAAATATTATAAAATAAAAAATATCATAAAAATTATTTAAAAATATCATAAAAATTCAACCAAAGTTTTTTTTCCTTTTTTTTACTTTTTTCTCATTATTTCCAATTAAGTCACAATTAAAATTAAAGAGGAAATGTAAATTAAAAAAATTAAAAATAAAAAAAAATAAAAATAATAAAAAATATATAAAAAAAAAGATAAAGATAAAGAGAAAGGCAATATGAATTGGGTCGAGTGACGGGTTTATGGGCAGGTCGTATCGGGTTGGAGCATGGATCTTGCTACTTTAAAATGCTGATGTTTAGGTTGCATATAAAAGCCAAAATCTTGTTTTCTTTTTTTGGACTTCTTCTCTTTTTCTCTTTCTAGTCCAAAAATTATCTAATTTTTCTCTTTCAAATTCAACCAAAAAATTTCATTTTTTTCCATAATTCGACCAAAAACCTAGATTTTGACGTTAGAAAATTTAATGAGTCATTGAAAATTTTAAACTTTTCTAGAACACTACAAATTTTAGAATCTAACCACCACAAAATTCTTTTGGCCACCATTAATCTTGTTGGAAAAATCAAACCCTCATTAAAAATTTTAACCAAAATCTAGAAATTTAACAAAAAAAAAACCTAGAAATTTCCAAAAATTCATAGCAACTAGAAATTAAAGAAACCGAAAAACGTTTCCTAAAATCAAATACACAATCTTTTAAATCAAGATCAACTTCAAACACACCTTTAATAAACTAAGAATTCTAGATTAAGACCTAAAAACTTATACCATTTTTTTTGCTCACATATTTCTCTTAATTTGCTGTGATTGCTTGATTTTGGCAATTGTTGCTTAATTGCTTGCTGGTGGTCTTTGAACTAGGAATTTAGGTTTTTTTTAGGGATTTAATCTCTTTTCAATTTTAAAATTTTTTAATGCCTATTGAATCCACCAAGATTTTGTCAAAATTTCTTTTGAGATCTTTTTCTTTTTAATGGATTAATGCTTAAGTTTTTCAAAGCCCATTTAATGTTGGAAGAATTTTTGGACAAAATAAAGTGTTTATAGTTGTCTTTTTTTTGCACATTTTTTATGAAATAGGAATTATACAAAAATAAAAGGACATCCATTTTGTTTAGGTTAAGAGATGATATTAAGAAAAATCTAAAAGGCTATTCTTTAATAGAGGTTTTGAAAATTTTAAAATTTGTAACCCAAAAACTCATTTCCAAAGAAGGCGTTGAAATTTTTAAAATTTGTAACCAAAAAACTTTTTCCTAACAAAGGCATTGAAACTTTAAAAATTCACAACCAAAATATTCTTTCCTAATAAAGGCATTGAAACTTTAAAAATTTGCAATTAAATAATCTTATTTTTGAGAAGATTTCTTTCATTTTGACAACTTTCTCTCAATCTCATCTTCGAAAACTATTTTCAAACAAATTCAAAATTCTTTTCTTAGAAATTCTTAAAACTATATCAACCTTTAAAATCTAATTTTTCATTTTATCTTCCAAGCATACACATTGAACGAATGCAATGCAATGAAAAATCTTTTTTTCAAAAAACTTTAACTTTAATCTTAATTATAAAAATCAAAATTTGAATTCATATTTTTATCTTCTTAACATGTGCAATGAATGCATAATGCAAAGGAATGAATGGAATACTTGTAATGAAGCTTATGCAAACCATATTTTATCTTTTCAATTATGGTAAACAAAAGGATTCCCATATCCTTTCAATTTTTTTTTCAATTTCTCAACACTCATATCTTTCAAAATAGGCTGGCAGGCTTTATCAATTTCATGGCTTCTTTTATGGT